AACTATTAACAAATCCTGAAAGAGAGGATGTGACAGGTGGGTGTGGCAAGAGGGGCCCGACTTTCTATTTGATAACTCTCTAACCAAATAAGATTGAAGGCTATGAAAATTATGCTCTGTCTCAGCAATGATGATTTCAAAGTGAGTAATTTACATCAAATTTCATACTTATTAGAGGGGTGGTGAATAAATTAGAGAAGAGGGGACGCCTAGAGAAAAAAAGTCACGTTTCTCACACTAGGGTAAATTCAGGATTTTTTAAAATATTGTCTTATAAAATTAAGAACGTAAAACTTAAATACTATTAAAATATGGATTATTAGTCACAAGGTTATGCTATAACTAACTGGTATAACATAAACAAAAAAAATTATTTAACTTTTTAATGTAGGTCACTAAAAACCTTGTAATATGTGCAGTTAAGGATGCCTGTGGTGAGAGGGTGAATATATACATATTTTGGTATGGTCTAGTTCTCCAGTAATATTAAAAAAATATATGGTGCTGATTTTAACCATCATCTTGTCATGCTTGAAAGCATGTAAATAAACAGACAATATTTCTAAACATATATCAGCATATTTGGAGGAAATAGGTGTTCCACTTTTGATTTTAATTTATTATCTCAATTCTTTGGACAAACCAACTGCTGCTTTTTTTTTTTAGAAATTTGGACAATTTGTTCCTAATTATTAAACTGATAACTATTTTCCAAAAGTTGACCCTTAGTTTCATTAAAGATTTTCTATAAAATCTGTTACTTCAAAATACAGTAAAATATGCCAGGTTCTTAACTTATCACAAAAGCTGAAACCATATAAAGGTGGTGGTCTTTGCCCTTCTTCAGATCTCCTACAAGGGTGCTGCCCCATACAGTATCATTGACCACCTACCATTTAGACCTATTCAATTTTCACTTTGGCTTCTTCTGCCAAAAAGTAGGGTGAACCCTGCCCATAGCAAAAACAAGTACTTTTTTTAAGGTACTGGAAGTGGTGTATATAGTAAATGTACACAATGATAAGTTAATCCTGACTATAGAAATATGCTTACAATTGATTTTTATTAAAAAAGTATAATATATTGGAATAAAATTGAAAAGTAGACCATTTTTATCTCAAGGAGGAATTCAAGGACTGTTTTAGCAAAAATTGAGTATTTTTTAAATTCCAGGACTTTTCCAGGTCTGTGTGAACCATGTTTATGTTATAAACATTACAATTTATTTCAAGTGAACACTAATTATTTCAATTATTAACAACTAACTTAATTTCCAGTGAATTAAGTACCAGAGTGTTGAATGTAATTTTAAGTAACCTAAAGTTATATCAATTATTATCTAGAGTAAGATAAATTTACTGTATCTATATTTTTAATAAATGTTGTGAAATACGCTTACCAAACTTCCAGCGTACATATTCATGAGGGTCATTTTTCCACATTTCATCATCATCATCAGTGTAACACATAAGAGGGAAAATTATATCTTGAATGATTTCCTGCAATTCCCAATTCATAAAGAACAGAATAACAACTAAGAATTTATTTGTTAAGATATGTTTTCGTATTAAGAAAAAACTTTATAATATACTTTAGGAACACATTGTTCCAACAGAGACTAAAAATGCATCATTTATATCTACTCCATGATATCTGAATGAAAAAGTGATAATTTTCGTGTATGTGTGTGTTTATATATATATAAATAAATATAATAGTACTGTCTGTACTTTCGCAGGGTATGGATGGATCTTCACTAAAATTGGTATAAGTTTCATCAGGTCCATGCAAGGGTACATACAAACTTTCAGTTTTGTATTTTGCAGTTTTTATGGCCATTTTTTATGTTTTTTACCACTACCTCACCTCCTGTTGATGGATCTTCACCAAATTTGATATGAAGATTCATTGGGTCATTGGGGAGATACATACAAATTTTTAGTTTTGCTTTTTGCATTTTGAGGTTTTTATGGGCGTTTTTGCCTTTTTTTACCACTACCTCATCTACTGTGGATGAACCTTCCCCAAATTTGGTATGGAGGTTCACTGGGTCCATGGGGAGATACATACAAATTTTCAGTTTTGCATTTTGCAGTTTTTACAACCATTTTTTACCACTACTTTGCCCCC